ATTGATTCAAAATGTGCTTGGATTTTTTTTTTTAAAAAAAAAATCTTTAACAGTTAAAAAATTGGTTTATTAAAAAAAAAATGGCGAATCGTACGGATAGTCAAAATCTTAGAATTTGAACCTTTCACTCTAAATAAAATAAAAATTCCTGATTCTGAAAAAGTTAACCAAATAATTGCTTCAATCGATTTAGCGATATTAGCAAATATTAAAAAGCACACGTTTCTTCAGCTGTCAGATCTTATTGCATCACATCCTAAAAAAAATCGTTTTCAAAAAGAACCACGCCCTCAGAATCCATTTGTTATCTTTCGTATCTTTCGTCGAAATATTCAAGCAAAAATTAATGCCGATCTTGGTCCTCACAATTACATTATGTTTCAAAAGTAGCTTCAACCAGTTGGAAAAATGCTAGTGCAGAAGTAAAAACAGTTTACGACTATTTAGCACAATTGACCAAACTTCTTATCCTGAATATCGATATCGACCAAAGAAAAAGCCTAAAAAATATATATTTAACATAATAAAAGTAATCGGAAACAAATACTTTCATATTTCAAGAATAATTTCCCTTGCGACTTTTATATTTATTTTTTTTATAACGCGTGTGATTATCAATAATTTTTTCATAGAAATGATAATCCTTAATTAATTTATTATAATTGTTATAATAATTCTATTTTATCTGCAGATTTTGCTTAATAAGATCACCTATCATACAAAAAAGATAATTGATCTAAAAGAAATATTAGCCATTTATAACAATTAAACAGATATTTGAATTTACTGAAGAGATTGATTTAAAAATTTTACAAAAAACTGTTAAAACCGATGATAATGAATCAATTAAGAAAGCGAGGCAATAAATTTTTCAGTAAAATATAATCACATAGACAATTTATACTAATGAACTCTTGAAACCAGAACCAGCCGTTCGGATTAGGCTCAAACAGAACGGAACTTTATTCTTAACTTCAGTAGAAAATTGTTTGAAACCAATACCTCATAAATCTCAGAGTTCCACCATGTTATGTTTAGAAAAGACTTTAATATTATCAACCATTGTCCCTTAATTGCTATAATTAATTATATTGTAATATTCCATTCTATTTAAATATTTGTAATACCCTATTAATCTACTAATCAAAATAACAATAGTGACTAAATAAAAGAGATTAAGCAAATTTTGGGTCGATAATTATAATAAAACTTTTGGATACTCAAAGTCTTTTGATTTGGAACGTGACTAAAAATATTGTACAACATAAAAACAAATCTGGCAATTCAGAAATTTATTTATTTCAGCCGAAATTAATAAAATTTATTCGCCCAAATTATTTTTTTGCCATTTATTTTTATCATTGTAATTATTTCTCTTTTTACACCTATTTTGAGTATTATTAACATTTGCAATTTCTTGATTTTCGTTCAATTCTTGTAATATATTGCTATTTGTATAGCTTTCATTATCATTTGATATCCTTTGTACAGATTCTTTATATAAACTTGCTATATAAATATCTTGTTATCCATCTTTCAATTATTTTAATTTCTGGGATTTCTTCTAATTGAATTTCACTTTTCAGCTATTTTTTTTAACTCATCTATCATATCTTTTGTAGACATTCAATCAGTTTTGTTTATATTTCCTATCAAAAAAAACTTCAAGATAAGTTTTCTGTAACAGTTTTTGTTGTTATATCCTCTACACAGTATTTTACATAGTTTGCGCTTACCTTCTTATTTTATTTTTTATTTATTTATTTTTATTTTTATCTTTCTATTCTGATAATGAATAATAGCATATGAGATTAGCTTTAGATTTACAATATAGTAATCACATATATTAATCATTTCATTTTTATTTTATTTTATTTCTTTTATTTTATTTTATTTATTATATTATCATATGTAGCTATCCAGATTGGTCTTTGTAAGATCTAAGATATTATTTATTATATATTTATATTATATAACACTAATTATGTATTTTATATAAATATAACATATAAATAATAAAGATACAAGCAAGTTTTGTAAAATAATTTAATTATAAACCACAAACTTTGCTAATAAATATTTGTTAATATTTATTTTCTATAATGAATTAGTAGATTCATTACATTTTCACTTTTTTGTTATATACTTTCCTTTACCCCTTTGACTATAATTATAATTGCTTTTCAATACCCATTCAATTTCTAATGAAAATTTTTCATTTGCATCTAAAATAATAAAAAATATTATTTTATTATTTTATTTTATATAATTTTTTCTAAATCATAAAATCAAATAAAATATTTATAATATAAGTTTTGATATTTTTTGTATTATTGGTTTTTTCTAAATCTATAAATATTGTTTAATTAAATAAAAACAATAACAAAACATATATATTTTATATATTTAATAATAATATACTTTAAATTTGAACCAAAGAAAATTCCATTTTGAATTTAATTTAATATATTCTGAAACTTTAGAAATTGGTTTATGTGAAGGCTCCTCAATTAATTTTAAAATATCACTTGAAGTATAATATTTCCATTTCTCCACATTTGACAATTTACAAGTTAAAATATATACTGGCCAAAAATTTATAAATACTACACCTATTAGATATCAAATAGGTAACAAATAAGTGAGTTGGTTTTGCTAAATATCAGAATTCAATATCAGCAAAACCAACTTACTTATCTGTCACTTATCTGATACCTGATAGGTATAATATTTATAAATTTTTGACCAGTGATATCTAATATGTGAACTATCAATTGGTTATTCAAAATAAAATAGTTTTGTAATATCAAATAAAGTTTTATTGGAACATGATCACATTTAAGTTCTAAATGTACAATAAAAGTTCCACTTATATTTTTAATTGTAGTTTCTATTTTTTTACTGTTACCTAAATTATAACTAATCCTTATATATCTTTTGATAGTGTGAATAATCTAAAATAAAATATTTTTTTAATAAATATATAATCTTAAAATTATTGAAATTAATTATTATTTAATTGTATATGGTGAGAATCTATATTACTTTTAATCTTCCTGGGTTTAAAAATATACCATTCACAAATTTCAATGTTGTACCATTTGTACCAATTTGCAATAATAGTTGTTAATTTAGAATTGTAATATTAATTACCATTGTCAGAGAAGATTCTAACTCACTTAGGTTTTGGATCCAATATATTAAATAAAGTACTAAAAAATAATACAGTAAATTATACATTTGAGTAGTATCAATGACCCAATGATCAAAAACTTGCATATCTAATTGTGATAATTATTTTGCTTAGTAAAAACTAATATAGTATAAAAAGTCTAGTTACACTTTTTAAAAAATTATTTTTTAATTTCACAAACATTTTTTGGCAAAATTCTCACATACTAAAATTGCATCATTATTATCAAGGTCCAAAAGTTTTGTTTTGAATTAATTATTTAAATAAACTTTTTATACTTGATAAGCAAGAAAATAAAAAGATTTATTTTGTAATTCTTCAATAGTAAAGTATAAATTTTCTTAAAATATAAAATAAATATTTCTTTATAAAAACTATGATATTTAAAATATATTTAAAATATATTTAAAATATATTCAAATATATTTTATTAAATATTTTTTAAGTATATAAAAAACTATTTAATTCATGATTTGCGAAAAATGAAAAGATTTATATTAATAAAATGTGGAAATAAGTTATATAGTAAAAATATATATATATGATAATCTCAAGTCAGAATGGCTAAATTACAAAAGTCATTTTATCAATTATAATAAAAAAATCAAAGGTTCTGATTGTATATATTTTTAAAGTCAAATGATTACATTAATAAAATAAGATAAAGTTTTCTTTTTTTAATAAACAAAACTTTCTTTTTAATTATATTTAAAATTTTATTTTGCCTTAAAATTTATTATGTAAATTCTTTCCGTTTTTCATGAATTGCGAATTAAAATATTATTATTTTATAATTAAAATGTATTTAAAATATACTTAAAAATATTTAATTTAGGTAATGAGTAAGTATGTTTTAAGTATATACTTAAAATATACTTAATTTTAAATATGTTTTAATAATATTTTAAGTAT